AGCAATCAACAGTTATGCATCTATCAACAATGATGCCAACTATCTGTCATCTGTCAACAGTGTAACCAAACGTCTATAATATGTCAACAGTGTTATTAAACATCTGTCATCTGTCAATCCAGTGTTACCAACATCTGTTAACTTAACCTGACAGTAGATGTTACAAGAATCGCCAACTGTCATCTGCATAGGATCTTGGACACCAATGCTTTTTAAATGGAAAACGTGTAGTTCACTCTGAACAGTAGAGTACTGGTGTGGACATTTAAGACAAGATAGGACAAAAATTGCTAATTATTTAAATGGAGGAAAGTTATTTGTAATAGGGTAAAGTCAGCATTGGACAGCAAAGTAACAGTATTAAGTATTTATAGTAACTCATCAAGTTTTAAAATTGTAGCTCAGCTTTTTTATTTAGGCCCCTTTTTCAGTAAACTTGTAATTAGTTTCGTTTTCTTAAATTTGTTTTTTTTGTAATTATTTCTAATTTCCATTCCCCGTTCTATTTTGTAAAATTATCTTTCTTTCTCGTTAGCTTCTTTCCTCCACCTTATTTCTTCGGCACCTCTATCACATATACATGGATTTATCATAAAGTTCTTTTTCCGATGTGTATTTTTCTTTAGTGATACCATTCTTTAGTGAAATCTTTGTAATCTTGTGCCATTTCCTGTCGCGTCAAAGCGTTAATTTAATTTAGGTTCAAGAAAGTCAAATAATCAGTTTTTGACAATGAAGACATTTTTTGTTATTTTTTAATGTGTCAATACCTTAGACAAATAATTAATTACCCCCACTACCAAGATTTTTGCGCAAGCGCAGTAGGACAAACATACGTGATGTAATCGTCGTTGCGACATGCGTTCACGTAAACCAAGGTTATAGAGGGCATACGAGAAGTTCGCCTTGTTTCATCGTTTTTTTGAAACAAGGTGAACCTGATGACCTAAGAAGAACCATAGAAGACCTTTCGTCATAGATGAGATTTATGCTACCCCCTTGAAGAAGCCCTACCTCATTGAGATCAGTCACTTATTTTTGTACTAAATACTAAGCAAAAATAGATTAATTCAAAAGTCATTTTATTTTTAGAAACTCTTGTAGATTAGAATTTGGTTTTCCCGTATCTACTAAAGGCTTCCTTTATTTTTCATTTAAATTTATTGGTAATTTTTGTTTCGGTATTTTCATCAAATACTTTATACGTAGAAATTAAAATGCCGTGGCGTCCAGTTTATAATTACAGAGCGATTGTGTTGTTAAATCTAAGTGGCCTCATCCACCATCCTTAGTACTGAGCTTTAATCTTTTAAATTGTAAAAACCATATCAGGGTTTATAAAAAATGACACCTTCGTTACAAATTTTGGCGCCCAACGTGATACAAGAACACACACAACCCCTAGTACTGAGCTTTAATTACTTAAATTGTAAAAACAACATTAGGAGTTATAAACCGCAGCGATGCAACGGCGAAATAATAAAACGATACTTAAAAAACATGCCCCGTATATACTTTGTTCTATATTATTTTATGTTTAGCAGCTTTCATTGGGCATCATTTGTATCTAACGCATGCGGTACCTAATATACTCATAATAGTAATAACAATAATAGACTTTATTTATATTTTTTTACAGTGAATAAATACATATAAAAAAGGTAAGTGAAATTAAAAAAAAATACATAAATAAAGTAAAAAATCGATAAGTGTTATCAAACACTTGTTTAGAAGAAAGAAAAATGTGTAAAATATAAAAATGTATCGCATGTACATTTTTTAGTCCGATAACATCAGTCAATCATGGAAACGAGTTGCTACGAAGGATTTCTAAAATGGTCATTGATCATCTATCTCCCTCTCCATTTTAATGTTCTTTTTCATTTTTCGCATCTGTTATGGATAATTTGTGATCGGGTATAATAGGTTAGATAAAGCCCAGGAATGGTTCTGGTCCTATGAACACAGATTCGGTTCCTCTTTTAGCAAGTGCGTCGGTTTTAACGTTGCCCTCTACACCACTGTGTCCCGGAACCCAGATCAAAGTAACTTTGGTCCAGCCACCGAGGGTATTTATTCAGTTACAAACCAGCTTTGAGTCAACTTGATTGATGCTCAGGACCTTAAGGGCTGCCTGGCTATGTGAAAAAATCTTTATAGTCTTGTTTTCGAGGAGAAAATTAATCAAGTATCTCATTCTCAATTCTATAGCAATCATTTATGCTTGGACCATCGTGACCAAGTAGCCTAGGTTTATTGATATGTTAACTCTAGGCCTCTGGCCGAAAATTTCCGCTCATATTCCTTTTTCAGTTTTGGAGCCGTCCGTGTACAACGCATAGTTTGCCTGGAAGAGGGTGTTTTACCCTATGCTCCATGCGTCTTTTTCTAGAATGAGGACGCTGTATGGCTTTTCTATGTGCTGTCGGAGAACTAGCGAGTCCGAGACCATGCCGAGAATGTGGTAATTATTAATTTAACTCATCAACCCCGTCTTGTTCCATTGCAGTTCTTCGTAGCATTGACTACCCACCTTAAGGAGTCTGTAGAAGACCACCCTGGCCTCCCTTTCCAGCAAAATGTGGAGAGGGGTTGGGTCTAGCATGGTCTCCATGGCTCCCGTAGGTGTGGTTGACATTGCTCTAGTTATGGCGAGGCACTCAAGCCGCTGTATTTCAGCTAGCTTTGCTCTGGGCGTCCGTTGGAGTCTCTTGTCTTACCAGACGACAGAGCCGCACGTAACCATGGCTCTTACCACTGTTTGGTAAATCCAGTAGATCAGTTGAGGACTTATCCCCATGCTTCGACGCATATCCTTCTAAGGGTCCAGATAGATAGTCTGACTTTGTTAATGGTTTTATCCAATTGGTGGTTTCAGGTGAGTTTCTTATCTAGGGTGATCCTCAGATATTTCACTTCCTCAGCAAAAGAAATGGTTTCCTCAGCCAAGATAGGTTATCGAAGCTTGTCTAGCTTTCTTGTCGTGGTAAAGAGGACGCTAACAGTTTTGCGGGGGTTAACAGATATCTGCTCCCTCTCGCACCATCTGTTGATTATATTAATGGCTTGTTGAAGGAAGTTGGAGATCACCCCTTTGAACTTTCCCCTAATTATGATAACCAGATCATCCGCATAGCATTGGAAATTCACCCCTGCCGGGAGAGATCGTCTAGAATGGTCCACAGTAGGGTTGAAAGTACGCCGTCTTGTGAACATCCTCTGGTAGGCCTAAAAGTGACCGTCTCTCCCTGCAGTGATGAAGTGATGTTCCGGTTTGCCAGCATGCTTCTGATAGGTTAGTTTGTCGATTCTTCTTCTTTCAATAGAAGCAAACAAAGACTGAGGAAGGACCTTGTTGAACGTGCCTTCTATATCTAGGAAGGCACCTATCGCAATCTCCCCGTGATTTAGGGAATGACCGATTTTGCTAACTTAATTGAGCAGGGCATGGTCTGTCGCTTTATCTGCTTGGTAGGCATATTGGGAGGAGTTTAATGGACTTTCCCGAATGCCTCCTTATCTAATATGCTTATCTAGAATCTTCTCTAGTGTTTTTAGAAGAAAGGATGTTAGGCGGATTGGACGATAAGTCTTATCGTCCAATCCGCCTAACTCTTAGAGTTTGGTAGGGAGATATCTACTCTACCAGCCTTGTGTATATACACGACTTTCGCAATCGTCCATCCTAGCGGGATATAGCTCCACGCTAGGCTTGCTCTAAACAGCCTCACAAGAAGGGGTATCAGGGGTTCCTGTTTTTTGCAAAAGGGCAGAAAAAATGACATCCTCTCCAGGTGATTTGAAGGCGGAGAATGAATCCATCGCCCATTTCACGGCGTTTGAAAAGACTATTTTTGTAACAAAGTTGGAAGGGATACATGTTGCCTGTCCTCCAGAATTCGACTACCTAGGAAGTGTTTCTGTAAAAGAATCTATAAAGTTTTTTTGCCAAAGTCCGTATAGGTATTGTCGGGTCTTTTTATCAAGCCGACTTCTTGTCTCGGATCTTTGGCGAGAATCTTGTGAAGTCTGGTACTTGCAGGTAAATCTGATATACTCTGACAGAACTTCTTCCACGATTCTCGGGTATAATAAGAAAAATAGAAGAAAATAGATTAGAAAATAGAGTATTTATTGTTTGATGATTTGAATATCATAGAAACGGCTGAGATACCCAGAAGTTCGTAGAATTCTACCAGTCCGCAGTTCAACTTTCTCGTTATCTAGAAACATGTGTATAACAATATTTTATTTTGTATTTAGTCTGATGTTAGCTTTTATTTAATAAAGTCATTATAATTATACTTTTGATTGAATGAAAATATATATTTTTTTAAGTATTTTTCTCGTATTATTACATTTTTGGTGCTATAAGAGAAAAATATATGCGTTTTGCTTTTTCTTTTTGTTTAGATTCTTATTTAATATTTTCAAAAAATAAATGTTTTGTGAAAATCTACCAAATTTGGTTAATATTTTCATCTGAAGTTTTCCCTACTTTGACAAATCTGTTATTAAATTTATTTGCTATATCTTTCTCTCTTATTAGAAGCTCATCCAACTCAATTTTTTTAAATTGATCACTTGATCACATTGAATCGGTCATTTTTAAAATTTTACGGGAGATATAAAAAACCTTTTATCTTTAATAGTATTTGAAACTAATCTTTTGTGAGGTATTGTTTGCTTTAAGCATGAACTTTTATTACCATGAATTATTAAAAAATATAATTTCAATTTAAAAAGGGGTTAAAAATTGACATTTTTTGAAAAAGAGATGGCCCGTTTTCAAAATGAACAAGTATTTAAAATCCAAGTAGAATATAAATATTGTTTATTTTAAACAACAAAGTGGTATAAAATACATTTCCTCCGTTTCTTCAGCGGTAGTAGTGGGCTGTTCATAGATAGTGGTGTAAAATTCTTTGTATTTATCTGGAATATATTGCTGAAGCTTCTTTATATCCGCAATTTTTTTAACATTTATCGGAATTTTGGCTTCATAGGCTGGAAAATTCTAAAGATCGGGCACCGCTATTTTCGGAATGGCTTCGTTGTAGAGTTTTCAAAAAAAGATAGCGTACCTCAACACAGCTGCCAATGTATGGTTTGGCAAATATGACACCCAAATTTTCTGAGTTAAAGCTGAATTCATAGAAGGAGTTGATAGTGAAATTAACCTTTTCTTCTTTTGGAACTTGTTTGCCAAGACTTCGTGTAGACAACACTTTCTTCTTAAAGAAATCCGGCCACCACTGTTCGAAACCAGTTACATCTACGTGAGTTACATGTCTAACGTCGAATTTATTGCTTCTAGATGAAGAAACTATTAGGTCTTCATATTCTTCTACAGAGAAAATCCGGTCCAGGCGACGAATTTTGCTTTTTACTGTGCCAAAATCCCTGTCACAATCATTGAATGAGTGACCTCGTTGCGAAAAGAAAATAATAATTATCTGGAACTTTTCATTACCAGAGCCAAAAGAAATCGTATTATGGTGACCAGGACATCCGTCACAAAATAGATGCAGTTCTTCAATATTTTCTGAAATATTATTGTTAATGTAGTCATTTAAAAAAGAACAAACTTCGTCAGGGCCTTTGTGTCTTTCACCTTCGTAGTCTAAACGATTACTGGATAGATTCCATCATCCGATCCGCGAACCACAAAATATCCATAATACCTAATAAAACTTTGGCGGTGGAGACAAAACGCGATTCATTTTGAAAAGGGGCTATATCTTCTGGAGATAACCCGTTTTCAATATGAACTGATTTTTGTGTGGTGTGAATAGGCGGTAAGAATTTTGACATATAAGCCGTTTTCATCTTGAATGGATGCTTCTAGGCATGCTGAATGTAAAATCGCCAAAAAGTGAAAATGCCCAAAAAGTGGATGTGACCCCTTTTCAAAATGACCGATTCAATTATTTAGTAGTTATTATTATTTGTATCAATTTTGTTTTTACAGTAATTTATTATTTTTTTATTAATTTATTGACTTTGTTTATATTCTTTAGTTAATTATAGTGGTTTTGGTTTATTAATTTGGTTTTTTTGTGCTATTCATTATTTTATTTATTTATATGATTAAATCATATCAAAACTTAGTAGGTGCTAAGAATCATTGTATTTAATGCAGAAGCGTACATTTAAAATAAATGCTTCTCTAAGTGAAAAGTTGAAATAATAATAATAATTTGAATGAATGTCTTTGACGAAACATTAAAAATCATCTGTATCCGATGTACTCTGCACGAAAGCACTAAATTCCATTTAAAGAAAAATCAAACAAAAAGATCAACTTCAAGTAACCCTCTTTCCGAAAAGTGCTCTCTCATTATCTAAATAAAGGCGAGAGAGATTAAAAGATAGCACTTGCTGTTACACTATTTTAAGTCTGAATTCGAGTGTATAAATGTCGCCTTTGTTAAGATAACTTTTTTACATAAATTTCAGGAGAGTTCATTGAAAAGACGTGCTCGACCGGCGATGCAAAAGTTAACATTATCTTCACCTATCTTTGTTCTCATTTTTCTTCTTGCTCCCCTAGTCTTGTAGCGGGCCTTTATTTGTCAGGGATGATGTGCTTTTTTTTGTAATGTAAAGGTTTTAGATTAAATATTGTATCCTGGCTTATTAACTCTTGTGCTGTGTGCTGTTTATGATATTTAAATTTTATGGAAAGACGATTTTATTTTGTTGTGGATAATATAAAATTTACTGAATCTGTTAAATGAGAATCAGTATGTAGCTGTTGATGCAATAATGAAACTAATTGAATTATGTATGAATTAATTTGCTTAGTTTAAATAAAATAAAACTCATCCCAAAGTTAAAGAATAAAAAGATCTAATTACAAACATAAATGCTAATAACAAAGTTAACTCAAATAGTGAAAAATTATTTATAATATGTAAATAAGCAAAATAAAACTTAATAATTATTGTTTATAATGACAATCACTAATACAAGAAAACCGTGGCTAAAATAAAATAAATAAAGTGGATAAGATTACAGTCGATAAGTAAGTACTCACTTGTTTCAAGTTAAAAATTACAGGAGGCAAGTATTTAATTAATAACATTATTTGATATTATATTATTATTATAATAATAATTTATTCTTAAAGAGTAAAACTACATGACATGTAGATATCCAAAAAAATATACAAAGAAAGAATGAATTATAGTATTTATTACAAATACCTATGCACGTTATAGATCATTTATGAAATAACGACCTTGTCGTATTGTCTAATCGTCAGAATACTCGAGAAATGTGGGAAGTTTTGAAATTTTAAGGTTATATTTTGTTTGATTATGTTTATAGGAATAATGAATTTTAAATGTTTATAACTAATGGAAAATATTGAATTCCATTATGCATAATAAACATGTGAACAAAAATGCTGTAAACATATTGAAAATAGTCATGGAAAATGTTACTGTAGGTAGTATACCTATTGCAGATAAATTAAACATCGTCTTTACTAAAATTGATCTAGAATTGGCACTGAAAATATTTAAAACTAATATCGTTTTACCAAGAAAGTCGACCTGACATAATCGGTAGTGACAGACCTAATCAAAGAACATTCCCTTGTAAACATCAAGGAAAGATGGGATAAAACAAGAAACTGCAGAGTTGCCAGGGAGCTCTTAAGTTATCCTGACAACACTGCAGCAAACAAATACTTGACTTTGACTGGACAGAATCTGCACCTAGTCACAGGAATTCTGACTGGTCATTAAAGTATGAAAGCATCTCCATATCATGGGGCTGTCAGAATCCGCACTCTGCAGAGGGTGCAAACAAGAAGATGAGACCATCGAGCATATCCTTTACGATTGCTCGACGCTCTTATTTATTAGAAGATTTGTGTTCGGCGAGTATCGGCTTACACCGGATGATATAAGAAAAGCACCTCTTGGCGACGTTGTCAACTACATTAAATCTGTAGGCTGGCCCACGAGCGAGGAGGTGCCTATTATCTCAGAAAGATGCACAATGGGCCTAATAAGGCCTAAGTGCCGTAGGGTAACTCACCCTCCACACGTTACAGATACAGATACCAAGAAAATTATTTACCAAAACTATGTTTGAGATAGAAACCAGAACACCATATGAAATTAAAGAGAACATTGAAAAAAATTAAATGTACAAAGGCATGTAGAAAAGTCGTAATATTAGTGGAGGTACATACTTAAAGAATTCAAGAATGAAATTGATAAACTATTTTAAAACAAGAATAAATCATTTTATTTTCATATTTTGTTTTAAGTCATTAGTTGTTCTATTATCATTATTGTTATATATATTTAATGTTAATTTTCACAAGTATTGTAAACACATTTAGGCTGTTGATTGGTTAAGAATGACAAATGACATATTTGATTGAACCATGTTTACTCTCCATGTTTTGTGGGTTATCTGTGGTATTACGCACAATTTGTTCTACTGCTTGAAGACCAATTTTCTAATTCTAAGTGTATTGGTGCCTTTTTACTTTTCGTCGTTGATTGCCTTGGATCTCTGTAAGAAGCGTGGTACCATTTCTTCTCTATCCCCAACTTCTTGGGAGTTTAAAGTAGTTGGATCAATATTTAAGATTTTCTACCAAATATCCCAATATCCCATTGCCTTTATTATGGCTGTTGACCTCCATCTGATGAGCTGTTACCACTTGGTCATTTCTAATACTTGGGTGTGATCCATTTTATGAGAGTCCTACCTCAGAACTTCATACAACTAAGCTGAATTTATCGCCTTCCCTACAAATTTCTGCCTTTTGGTTTGTCGAGCTACACTTCTCGACCCTTGCTCATTCCCTTGGCTCATACTTCTCGCCTTGGGGCTCAACCCAGCGCTCTACCTTACCACCAAATTCGACTCTTCACTTTACATGCACTTGAGCACTTATAGACCACCGCCTCAATCCTTCTTAGATTATTCTGCTTACCACTTTCTATTAATTTTTTAGCGTTAGATTTAAGTTTTACATTCATTACCACTACAAGTTTTAATACCACATATTTTAACTATACATATTCACTACGTTGTTTACAATATGGATCCATATGACTTACTACTTACCAACTGTTAACCAGTTATTTATTTTAAAGTAACTAATATTTTAAATTTTTGTTTTCCTATCTTAAGGTAGAATTTAATATATTTTAGGCCTGAAGATGGTCCTGTGAGGTTAAAACTAGTTGCTAATTGATAATAAATTTTACGTGGTATTTATTTCGAGTTTTGTTTATTCTTTCCTGAAGAATGAAATTGTTAAAATATTTACGTAGGTACTTTAGTAAATCTCATTACTTTTACTAATTATTGAAAGCTAGAAATGTTCCAACTATATATAGACTTATATCTTTGCTTTTATCTGTAAAGTTATTGAAACATGTATAAACAGTAAAATCACCAATCATGATTCTCCATCTTACCAGTTCTAATTTGGTTCAGTAGAATTTTTAACAATGTGCATCTATGATATATAATCTTCTTTCTATAATATCTAATATTATATATTTAATAATCTTTGATAAAATTATCATAACTACTGCGCATTTTTCTCTTTAACGTTTTCGAGTTCTTTACATAGTGCCGTTTTCCTCGTTTAAATCTGACCAGTACTAGCCAAGATACGCGCTTAGACCTTCTTGACACTGCGCAGGATTGTTCTATTCAACGTTAACACATGCCACGTTCTCTACATAATACCGTTTTACCTCGTTTAAATCCGACAAATAATAGCCGTGATACACGCTTTTGTTGAAATTACTTATGCTTCTATCACAGAGTGGCATAAACAATTGAGACATTTACCTATTAACATGTTCAATGCTATAAAGAAAGTGGTTGCTGATCCTGAAGTACTTCCGAAGGAACGACCAATTATAGAATGTGAACCCTGTATTAAATCCAAAATGTAAGAATTTTGAAGAAAGTTCATTTGGATGTTGTAGGACCTTTATCTTCAAAATCTCTTGATGGAAAACAATATTTCGTAACATTTATTGAATAATTTTCCCGCTACTACAAAGTGTTTTTCATTTCACACAAGAGTGAAGTACAAAATAAAAGAGTATATTTTAAATATAGAAAGAATTACTGAATTAAAAGTGAGTTACTTTAAATCTGATAATGGTGGAGAATACATGTCGAATTCGCTGAAGGAGTTTTTTTAGTGCAATGAAATCACACTGGAAAATTCAATTCCACGAATTCATGTGTTACCATAGAGTCTTTGGGCAGAAGCAGTGGCATATTTCACTTATACAAAAAACAGACTACCACACTCATTTCATAAATTCATACTCCTTGAAATGTTTTTTAAGAAGCAACCATTTATACCGCATCTGAAAATCTTCGGTGAAAAAGCCTATTTGCATATCTCTAAAGAAGCCCAAGCAGCTGGAAGCGAATTTTGTCCCAGATCTTCTGACGGTTATGCTAAAAAAATGGGTAGTATCGATTTTATGATGGCAAGAAAGTAATAATATCAAAAGTTTATAAATTTTGTAGACAAGAAGAAGCAGGAGTGTTTATTAAGAGTTTTCCAAAGAGTAATACTTGGAACAAAATAGAAGAAAGAGAAGATTAAAAAATAAACGATAATAATAAAAAATACACATTCGGATTTAAATATTGAAGAAAATATAATTAGAGATGAAGATCCCCAGAAATAGTCCAACTAAGGCGTAGCTATAGGACAAGAAAGTCTCCAGATAACTATGATGAATACTTGCATTACGCTAATGATGATCCAGTTTCGCATACGGAAGCAGTTACAGGGCCAGAATCTTATAATTGGATCTTATCTATACAGGATGAACCAAAGTCTGTGAAGGATAATCATGTATGGGAAATAGTCCAATAACCACCTAATGGAAGAGTAGTTGGATGCAAGTGGATTTTTAAGAAAAAATGATCTAAAAAAGAAGAAATTAAAATATACAAATCTAGACTAGTTGCACAGGGATTTACTCAAATTCCTGATATTGATTTCGATGAGACTTATTTCCCAGTAATTCGTTATGAAACAATAAGAATACTGTTAGCCCATTGTATTCATAAACAAATCATTGCAAGACAATTAGACATTAAAAACGCCTTTTTAAATCGTGATCTAGATTTTAATATTATTATAAAGAAATCAGAAGGCATAATTGCTGAGCCAGGGAGAGTGTGCTGTTTAACAAAAAGTATTTACGGCTTAAAACAATCTTCCAGGCAGTGGAATCAAAAATCAAAGACTATTAATTTAATCCAATCTAAGGCAGATCCCTGTTTTTTCGTTTTAGAGCATGGTACTCAAATAATTATGTTGATGACCCCACTAAAAATCATGTTAAAATCGTGGAAGAAAGTTTGAACCAATATTTTGGAGTAACTCATCTAATTTCCAACTTTTCTTACAAATATGTTGGGAAAAACATTGCGTTTATCTATCACAAAAACAGTACATATTAAGAATTTTAGAAAAATACGTTATGAAAAATTGTAAACATGTTTCAACACCAATGAATATTGGAACAAAACCTCAAAAGGCCAAAGAAACTGACCCTAGAACTAATAAAGAAGTCTATCAGTCTAAGATTGGCAGTCTTTTATATTTGGCCTTGGGAACAAGGCTGGATATCGCATATGCGGTAACCATCCTCTCTCAGTTTAGTTCAGATCCAACAAATGAACATTCCAATATGATTCAACACGTATTTTGCTACATAAAAGGAACTGTGGATATCGATTTAAAAGTACGAGGAGATTACAAATCCAAAACTTTATATGTAGAGTGATGCTTCATATGCAGATTCATTGGACACTAGAAGATCAACGAGTGGGTATGTAGGATTTTATGGAAATGCCGCTGTTACATGAACAACCAAAAGTGTAGCTATTTCCACAACGGAATCTGAATATATGGCCCTCTCGTTATCAACTCGATAACTAATTTGGATGGCCCATGTGCTTAAAGATTTGAAACACAAGGATAGGCCTATGATGCTGTGTGATAATCAAGCATCTATACATATAGCGTCCAACCCAGTATTACACCAGCGAAGGAAGCACATAGATGTTCATTATCAGTACGTAAGAGAGAGGTTCATGGACACTACAATAGACATCTAGTATGCCTTAACTAAAGAAAACATAGCAGACATGCTAACGAAGCCAATTGGCAAGAAACTTTATGAATATTTTTACGCAGCACCCTGCAGTAGCCTGCGGCTATTAAAGGAAACGTAAAAATAGAAAAAGTACAAGTAAAAGAAGATAGAATACTCCAGAAATGTCCGAAAATGTCAGTATTTGTCAATAATATTCTAGACGACAGTTCGAGAAGGTTCGAGAAGGGTCAAGTGAGCTATATAAGGATGATTCTGACGTCAGTTTTCAGTTTTATGATAGACGTTACACGTTAATGTTATCAGTTGCATTGTTATTGTTAAAGTTCAGTTGAAATAAATTGTGATACCAAAAACTAGAGTAACAATATTTTTCTGATAAATTTACAAAAACCATCACTTAGAGAGAGTGTTGAGTATACAGCTTTGATTTTTTCTATTTATTTTTATTTACACTTGTTGACTATGTTGTCTAACTAGGTTTTAAGAGATTTTTTGGATAGTTGTCAGTTTTTTTTTTATTAAATAAAAAATAAAAGTCAGAAGCAATATAATTTATTCCAAAATATTCAAAAAATATAACTACATTTTAGCTTTGGAAAACGAAACACATGAAGCTGGATACTGTATACTGGACAAGACAGCTATCAAGGGCTTTGTTCACAATATTAACACACTATGACTTTTAACTTCTTTAGAAACATAATTTTTATATGTAGTGTAACAAAGACGTATACTAATTTCATTCAACTAAAATCAAATCCTAGAATATAAGCGAAAAACAATTATGTTAAAACTAAATATGCATGCACAGTAAAACTCATTAAATTTCACATAAATCTCGCCTAGAAATTTCGTATTATGGAAATATAGTACATTTATGCTTTGAAGTTGTTTATTTGCTACCTGTTAATTAGAAAATTGAGTTAAAAATAATTTTTCCTTCGAGAGCGAACGTAACATTTTGTATGTACCTAGAACAAAATTAAAATGCGCAGAATTTGTGCTTTCATAAACCAATAAAATTTATATATCTACCTACGGGGTATATTCTGTAAAACATTCTTTATAATTAAATTTCTAGCCGCCAGTTAAATTTTTTAATCAGAAAGGTATCGGCAAATTTTAGAGGCCTCGTACAGATTATTAATTTTAAATCATTGGTGTTGATAGTAGGCGCTAGAGCCTTTGAGTAGCTATCTAGAACAGGAACAGTTTCCAATCTTTTTGGAGATATTTTCTTTCGTTTTTATAAAGCAGTCTTGTGATATCTGAATAATTCCAGTCGAATTGAGTTTTACGTCTTCTCGTATCACTTATAATGCAATCATCGAATCTGTCCAGGCATACATGAAGACATCGTTTAATTTAAGTATCTGCCTAAATTTATGCAACAAGTTATTTAGCAGAACAGTGGAACACAGTTCAAGTCAAAGCAAAGTTGTTTTGGTTCTTGTCGGAGCAACTTTGGATTTGGCCTGTAACAACGATATGTATACTTTCTCATTTTAAAATGTTCGTGTGTATACCGCAACTCCATATGCCTGTTCGGGTGCATCACAGAAGCCATGTAATTTAGTATGAGTTTCATTACAATACAGCTATCTTGGTATGCGAAAATATTCTACTGATTTAATGTGAAACTTAAATTCAAGCCATTGATCAGTTGTTTTTTGGTTACTGGTTGGTTCTAATCTAACTCCAATCTAACTCCTGAAGTCATAATTTTTGTATAAGTAATTTTGCTTGGATAATAAGAGGTGCCAGTAACCCTAATCGGTCCAATAATTTAGCTATCTCAGATATAATAACTCGCTTCGTCAGTTTTTGCTAATTTGCTTGAAATCAGAATGTATCGTCTATCGGTGACC